TAGATAGATAGATAGATAGATAGATAGATAGATAGATAGATAGATAGATAGATAGATAGATAGATAGATAGATTGTACAAGAATAACTATGCAATCCTATGCAAACCTTCTGGTCATAGAAGTGGATTTATTTCTTGCACTGTCAACATTTCAGCCAGAATTAAAATGAGACAGCTTTCTATTATTTATCAATAGAAAATTCAATATAATATAATGTAATATAATTCTGCAAACTTTTTCCTAGCATGTAAAACAGAGTATATACTAAAGTCTGAACTCAGTTGGGTGAAAGTATAATTTGATCCAGGCCCTTTTAAGCAAACACTACACACTATGCCAAAGCTATTCTGTATTTGTGGGATGTGCACAATAATTTGTCCCTGATGAACAGATTGCATTGACCTTGAGCTGGAAGTGAACCCATGTCTGGAGAAAATAACTGCATTAACTAATTTCACAGTACTCCACACAAGGATGTTTCCTCACTTAAGGCAAAGTATGCAATACCCATGAATTAAAAACAAAACAAAAAAAACCCTTCAGATTTAAAAAAAAAATTAAACCAGACAAGCTCTGGCATTAGTTACTTAGATATGTCTCAGCTAAAACAGTTAAAACACATGGATATGACATTCTGCAATATCTTTATCTTTAGTTTGTCAAGGTTTTTAAATCCCTCTTGAGCTAGAGTGCCATTTTTAGCTTGGCTAGGTCAGAATGACACTGAACGATATGAGTGATGACACACTAGGCAGCTATCTGGACAGAGATGTCATCAGCAAGCCAGCTGTGCTAACACCTGTATGTCCTGCACAATTGATCCTTGGGAACACAGATCAAGAAAATCAGGTTACTGGGAATCTAAACAAAGAAGATGCTTAAAGTATTTGCAAATAGCTCCCTAAACAGCAAATGGGATTATTCAAAGGAAGGGTAGAAAAGAATCTCTCAATGTAATCAGAATGAAGATAAAACAAGCAATACAAAATTTTTCCCCATTGGGATAATCTTAAGAATTAACAACAAATGTTATGCTTTCAAAATGTTGGTATTTTCCTGTTAGTTTCTGTACCGACTGGCTTGTTTCACTGGTGGCAGGTGGCAGGTTGATAGGCAAAAGCCAAGAATAGGTTCAATCACCTAAGCACTGACTCCAAAATCTGTCACTTTCCTGCCAAGGCTGTTTGAACACTGTGTTTGTATTTCCAGCCCAAGTAAAAACAAGGTCATAACTCTAAAAAAAAAGTAAAGTACAATAAGAGGTGTACCAAATTACAAGGGCACTAACCTAGCATGCTATACCAATAAACAGTGAATAAAAATAAGTACATCTGTGCATAATCCCAAATAAATAAAGTTCCCTGGCCCTTTTATTTGAACATTTTAATTCACTTAAAAGTTGATTGATTTGGATGTTCTGATCTATCTGTATTCACTATGGATAATTCAAGTCCTCAACACTGCTTCAAGGTTCAATACACAGCTAAAGATACAAGTGGCACAAAATGAATACTAAAATAACACAACAGTGCCTCCATGCTGAGCACCAGAAGTAACACCAAACAACATTATGTTGATACAGCTACAATTGGTGCTGACCTTTATGATAAAGGCATTACAATAAACAAGCCTGAATTATGTGGTGTGAAAATCATCAGAATTCTTGGAATACTCTCTGTTAGAGAGCCGGAATCCTTGGGTTTTTAAATGAGTTGTTATACCTGATTCTTCAGATGAAAAAACAAAGCGCCATCTTAAGAAGATACAAGCCTTTACTAAAAAAGACAAACACATGTGTCACATTCTTCTCCATGTTTTGTTATATGAGTGGGCCGTGCCTCCTAATTTCAGACAGTGGCAAGCAGTGGTGGGATTCAAATAATTTAACAACCGGTTCTCTGCCCTAATGACCAGCAGGGTAGGTGGGGCTTGGTGGTCATGTGACTGGGTGGGCATGGCCAACTCAACATCACTCACTTTGGTGGGTGCTTCACCTTAGCTGTTACAATGTAACAAGGGTTAACCAGAGAGGCAGTTTCTGTAAGCAGGGCAATAAAGATTAGGCTAGAAACAACACCAGAATGTTTCTTTCCTGCCTTCCTTATAGGATTAGCCCTGTAAAGTGGAAAAAAACAAAATGAGATTTCTTCCAACAACTGGTTTGCCGAACTGCTTAGAAAGTTACCAACCGGTTCTCCTGAATAGGTGCGAACTGGCTGAATCCCACCACTGGTGGCAACTTTTTCAAAGATGGACAAATAAAAATTACCTTTGGAAAAGTAGATGTAATGAAATACAAACGTAATGTGGGGATCACTGTTCATGAATCTATTTTCATTCTTTTACATGCATAAGTAAGGTAGTTTCCAACATATATAATATCCAACAAATATCTCCACTTTACTTTCCATACTTCTTTTAGTGATACACTATGAGGTTTTAGGTTAGGAAAAAAGTTATGTTATGTATGTTATGTTATATTATGTTATATTATGTTATGATAGGTTATGTTAGGTTATTTTAGATTATGTTAGGTTATGTTAGGTTAGGTGACATGGCCCCTGAACAAAATATATGTTAGTTTCAGCTGATATTCTGAATTACATTAACAGCGAGAACCGATACAGAATCTCAGTTTGCTTTATAGCCATAAAACCTTTAAGATTTGGTACAAATCACATACATACTGGTAGTCCTCAACTTAGGACCATAATTGAGCCCAAAATTTATGATGTTAAATGAGAATTTTTTAAGTAAGTTTTTCCCCATTTTATGGCATTCCTTGCAACAGCTGTTAAGTGAATCGCTGTACTTGATAAGTGAATAACCTAATTGTTAAGTGAATCTGGCTTCCCCATTGACTTTGCTTGTTAGAAAGTTGCAAAAAGTGATCACATGAACCCGGGAAGCGGCAATGGTCATAAGTATGAATCAGTTGCCAGGCATCTGAATTTCACTGCACATCTGAGTCATGTCACTTTTTTCAGTGTTATAATTTTGAACGGTCACTAAATAAACTGTTCTAAGTCAAGGACTACTAGAATTAGTTAAATTTAAAAGATTACTACTGTTCTTCCATCCAGCCAGTTACTTGTTGACAACTGGTTACTTGCCAGTTACTAATCAACTTGTGTAAGATGATGCACATTTACTTTTGAGTAGGTCTATTGGTTTCAAAGAAATTTCCTTTCAAATTAGTCACACCTTTAACTACCATGAAGAACAAGTGTCTGAAATTCATAATAGATTCTGAAGGACAAACCTCAACATCAGAAATTTATTCTTTCTTCAGGAGAGAATTGAAATTTGCTTGCTGTCCCTATATTTGAAAAGGAAATTGCTTGGCTAGAATGAAAAACGGATGAGACTTAAAAAATATCTTCTTGAGAAGTCTGTTGATTCCTTTATATTAGGTCGATTTAGGCTTTGTTTTTTGACAGTGCACTAGAAATTTCAATGACACTCTACTGTCTAAATGTGTTTATTACATGTATTTATTACTGTAGAAAGACTGTGAGTTCAAGTCCTGCCTTAGCCATGAATGTCAGCTGGGTGAACTTGGGCCAGTCACTCGAGCTCTCTGCCCAGCTCACCAAAATACAGAAACAAATATGAAACATAATTCCTAATTATAGTACTAAAGAATTATTTTCTCAAGACCAATGTTATGACTTCTAGCTATATCTGTTTGCAGTGCCATATTTCTTGTCAAAGGATGGATGGATGGATGGATGGATGGATGGATGGATGGATAGAGAGATAGAATTAGAATTTCAAGGATAGCCTCATGTAGAGCGCATTGCAATAATCCAGCCTTGAGGTGACAAGGGCGTGAGTGACCGTTTGAAGTGCCCCCCGGTCCAGATAGGGCCTCAATTGGTGCACCAGGCGAACCTGGGCAAAGGCCCCCCTGGTCACAGCCGACANGGCCAGTCAGAGGTGGTATTTACCGGTTCCCTGAACTACTCAAAATTTCCACTACCAGTTCTTCAGAATTGGTCACAACCTGTTGAACACCACATCTGGTGTACTTGTAGGTACATGAGTATTTTGATACATGTGCTGTACCATTCAACTATCATTTATACCAGCATATACTAATGTCTCTTCCCATCAAAACCACTTTGACCTTTGATGGTTCGTTCAACCCAGGTAGACCTTAGGGGCAAAACTCAAGACAAGTTCATGCTTCTGTTGATCATGACCCGTTCGAGGACATTGAAATGATTGAAAAGGGCCATTAATATCTTGAACTAAGTTCTTTCTCTTCAATAGGATCTTTTACTACCATTTCAAAGACAGGCAGCTGTACTTTTTGTTTTCCAGCGCTGCATTATCCAGGACTAAAAATCCTTTGCATGAAAGTAAGAATTGATCTTTTGTCTGTTTCAAGTGATCTCCCCAAGGCCCCCCGTGCTCACTTGGCTGCCATGCGGAGGGCACTCTCTGCATCATGGATGCTCTCTTCCAGCCGACGCTTGTCCTGCTCCAGCTGGGTAAGATGTCTATTGAGCTGACGCAAAGATTGATCTTTTCTTCTCAGCTCCATCTTTGCCTCGGAGAGACTCTGAGAGCAGACAGAAAACAGAGTTACTTGTCAGCTCTGATAATTAACTTCAATTTATGCCATAGGCTATTAAACAAAGAGGAATACAGACTGACTGTGAAATAGATTGGGGCTATTTTCAAAGAAGAAAATAGCACAGGATTCCTCTTAAACATCCAGAACGTTGCAGATTTAACTGTTTTATATTAATAATAAAAACAAGAACTGTCCCGATCTGTACATGAACACATATGCTAAAGGCGCTCCATAAATATATACGTATTATCTTAGGGTTCATTAATGTGAATTAAAAGAAGAATTATGCTGGATTGCACCTAAGGTCGGAGTAGTCCAAGATTCTGCTCCAAGAGCAATAGCTAGATTTTATGGGAAGCCTACAAAAAATAGTCCCCCACAGCAAAGAACATGGAGCATCTAGATCCATAGGTGGAAAGACAAAGAAAATTGCTGCTTGGAAAAGCAGGAAATAGAAGAAGTAATTGGGGGGGGGGGNCCCCCCTCCCCCCTTCTCTCTCTCACACACAAGCAATCTAGAAAATCAGGCCAGAAAAATAACTGACTAAAATATTAATACATACTATTATTTGGATATTTTTGTACAGTACTACAGTGAGAGTATTACCACAAAAAATTAAAAAGAGTGTATTTTCTAAATCTTTAATTGTAAAAACAAACCTATTTGCTAGCATATAATAGTGAGAACTTTATTGTATATATTTTGACTGGTTATTATTTTACAATTATATTTTTCAAGTTCCATTAGCATTTTCTAGCAGAAAAAGCACTAACAAAGTACAATTGCTTGAAATACAGCTATACCAGTAGATGATGAAGCGTTATAAAAAAATATTACTTACATTTTGAAAGATAGATTCCACTGATTTCATATGACTAACAATTAATTCTTTGTCTCTGTTGAATAAATAAAAAGATCTTGTTCTTATTCCTGTTTTACTTTTAAAGTTTTATTCTGTTGCTTTTACTCTTGTATTGTGGTCTATTTTTATAATGAATGTTTTTGTTAGTTACCTATCACCATTTCCATTATAAATTTAATTTTTAACTGTATATTATTTCTTTGAACAGAAGCTGAAGAGCAGCTTTTATATGTGACATTCATCATTGCCTTTGCCCCAAAATTTATCATCTTCAGGTAATTTCAGTGTCATATACAAAAGTGTTTAGCTGAATTAACTACAAAGTAACTAGCACAAGCAATACTTCCCATTCTTTTTTTGCTGCTTTAGAGTCAACTCTATGTTTCTTGCATACGGTTGATTAATATCACGTCTAGTTTATAAAGGGTATCAAGTGTTAGCACTGGAAGGGATGACTGTCTTTCTAAGTTTTGTTATGGAACTTTTGCACATGCTTCCAGAAGTTCAGAAAATGTTGAAAAAATTCTAGAATTCTCTACAAGTACAACTCAATAAGAATTTTTGAAGAGTAAAAAACGCTCTTGTTTAGTCATCAATCCATGAATTAAATACGTAAGAAAAAAAAACCTGTCAGATAGATGAAGTGGCTGCGTAACCTCAATTTTCTTGGCACCACTGAAAGAACCAGAGCAAGAAGGAAACAGCTAGATCAAAATAATCCATTTTGTGCAGATGAAGAAACCTTTCTATCTTCAAATATTTTTCACTCATAGGCTATTTGGTGGAACATGAATGTGAAAGTCTCTGGAAACACTGTAGCATCTTCTGGGTGCTAGTATGTGGGTACATCTAGATAACACCTGGTTTTCTACATGGTCTATGATTCAAAAGCATGGACTAACAATGATTATCTCATGCAGTTTTTATCTGCCCTAATCTTTAGTGGAACGCTTTTTTACCCGTTTAAATCTGAAGAAAAACTTGACACAGGGAACGTATCTAAAAAGCTATTTTGTCTGTGTAAATATTGCTGAAAAGTTGCTGGTTTTGTCTTGTATGAAAGCTGTACTAGGTGTACTTTCTGGTATAGACTGTTTTGATTACCCTAGAATCGTGATGGTGAACTATGGCACGCAAAGCCCTCTCTGCAGGCATGCGAGCCGTCGCCCCAGCTCAAATCCACCCTGCATGCGTGCGCCCTCCCGCTGGCCAGCTGGTTATTGGGTCTCTGCTGCGCATGCTTGGGGTGCGGGGGCATGCAGGAGACGTGTGCATGCACGGCAGCGGGGGAGCATGGGGGCAGCATATGCATGTGTGGGGGAGCAGGAGGCACATGCAGGGGTTGTGGGCGTATGCGCAGGGTCACATGCGTATTGCATTATGTAGTGCACTTTCGGCACGCAGCAACAAAAAGGTTAGCCATCACTGCCCTAGAAGAACAATGGGCTGCTTGCTTTTTCTATTCATTTATTACTTGCCAATTCTGAGTTTTTAGTCAAAAGATACAAGAATGACTGTACTTGTGCGCTGTTACAACCTCAGGGCCAATGTGTACTTCAGTGGTGGGATTCAAAAATTTTTTACTACTGATTCTGTGGGTGTGGCATGGTGGGCGTGGCATGGTGGGCGTGGCATGTCTTGGTGGGTGTGGCATGGTGGGCGTGGCATGGTGGGCGTGGCATGTCTTGGTGGGT